TGGTGCTACCAGGGATAAACCATCCAAGTATGGGAGTATAGGAATCTCTTTTATTCTTAAATGGGGTGCTGTATTTCTCATTTAAGCCGGTTTCACACTGGCTTTGGCGTGTATAAGAGACGGTGCAAACAGCCGCCTTTGGAAAAGCATTTGCAGGGTTTCAGCAAGCTTTGTTGAAACTTGTAAAGTACAATTCAGCTCCTTTGTAAATGTTAAACACATATCCTAATGTGAGTGTGGATTGCCATTTTAAACAAACTGCTAGCAGGCTTCAGCTTGTTCAGAGCCTGCTAGCAACTGTCTTAAAGTGGCAATCAATACTCCCATTAGGATCCGTATTCAAGATTTACAAACTGGACTTGAATGGTACAGAAAGCTCTGCAAATGCTTTATCAAAACTTGCTGTTCAGACTGCTCTTATACAAGTTAAACAAGCCTAACTTTGTGAAGTCTGAAGGACTTACGAAATCCCAAAGGGGAGGGCCTGAAAATGCAAATGTTGTTCCATCCTCAGGTACACAGCTATTCTTAACTATTTTTGGGAAGCTGAGTGTTGATACATGACAATGGGCATTTCTTAGATCCATGCAGAATCCCTTTCGAAGTAAATTGCTGATTTACCATTTCCGTTCTGAATTTCTTGAACTTCAAGAACCAATTGAGAGGTTTCGGATTGATAATAGTCCTGAAAGTCCTATTTGGCCCAAAAGATTGATGCTTAAAATCCTGTATTGCTCCAACTATCTTACCTTTGCATTTGGTAAATTCAGGTTTGAAGTAAGATTCCAGTAGTTTAAAACTGAAAAAAAAAAGCTATTTTTCCTTAGTCATAGCCTCCTTCCTGAGTTTAGAAGTAGACTTTGATTCTTGATTTGCTAAAAGAAAGGCAAAGAGAAACATACCACTAAGAAAAAGGTGCTATGTTCTTCAATTGAAAGGGAGCAGAAAGGGAATATCCATAACTGGCTAGATGTTTCTCTAGCATCCTTGATCTCCTGATGGGCAGTAATGCCAGCATTCTCGGACATCCTCAGCACATCAGCAGTGGAGTGGGTTATGCAGGCCATAGACTGCTCGAAAACTGTCCGTTTTTTCGTCTGATAAATGAAAGATCGATCGTTCGTTAAACCAACGTAACCACCAATTATTACGAAAATATGCCGACCAAGTCATAAAGTTCACCCTATATAATAGGCAAAACTTCTGTTCCTTCCAGGTCACGGCTCATGCGCATATTTTTTTCGTAAAAACGATTGTACGATTTGACCATCATTGACGCGAAAATCAGTCGTTTTCCACGAATTTTCCAACATGACCGATAATCCAAAAGTGGAAAAAACGTGAAAACCCGGCCAACGAATTAACCCACTAACAGTGCAAAAATCGGCCGATTAATCTTTCGGACGAAAAATTGGCCGATTTTTGAACTGTCTATGGCTGGCATTAGCCTACCATAAAATGTGTTACAGCTTGTTTACACCCCCTGCTAAGACAGTAGATGAGAAGTGTAAATATTCTGCGGCCACAATACTTCGCGGAAGGAATTATACCCTCATTGCAGGAAGGGCACCTCCTTCCCTCTGAATGTGACAAATTCAAGTGACTGGAGCCCCACAGCAACTGTATGCCATGCATGTGGCATTTAGGGGGTCAAAACAGGCATTGAGGGGCAACATTTTGTCTCCTCACCACTTCTCACAGGAGCAACAGTCCTTGCCATAAGTGTAAATGTACCATTAAGGACTGACCATACAACCTGGTTCCCTAAGGCTGCTGCCTGCCCACCTCTCTGCCCTCCCAGAAATTCGAAATCACCACCAAACAGTAAATGACTGGAAGTGTTATGCATTCACTGTGGTCAAAGAATTCTGCCATGACCCACATAGAATGTCCACTGCTGCGCTGAATCTTACAGCTGCCATGCATAGCCTCTGGGAGGCCCTGTGATTACTTCCACTTTGAGCTTGCTGCAAGGCCTGGATACCTATTCCCTGCAAAACCTACGCCCAGGAGCCGACATGTGAGTCCACAACTCCCTCTGTACTCCTGTTTTCTCCATTAAGCTAGGACCCTAATGGACTCCCTCCCCTGTGAGTTACAACTGCTACAGGGAAGAAGCCTGAACTGCAGTCACTGAAAAAGTCCAGTGTTCCATAGCTGTACTCACTCCAATCTTGCCTCTTCCATGGCTGTACTCACTCCGATCTTGCCCGCCATGGCTGTACTCACTCCGATCTTGCCCCGCCATGGATGTACTCACTTTGATCTTGCCCCTTCCATGGCTGTACTCACTCCGATCTTGCCCCACCATGGCTGTACTCGCTTTGATCTTATCCCCGCCATGGCTGTACTCGCTTTGATCTTGTCCCCGCCATGGCTGTACTCGCTTTGATCTTGTCCCCGCCATGGCTGTACTCGCTTTGATCTTGTCCCTTCCATGGCTGTACTCACTTTGATCTTGCCCCCGCCATGGCTGTATTCACTTTGATCTTGCCCCCGCCATGGCTGTACTCACTCCGATCTTGCCCCCACCATGGCTGTACTCACTCCGATCTTACCCCCGCCATGGCTGTACTCACTCCGATCTTGCCCCTGCCATGGCTGTACTCACTCCGATCTTGCCCCCGCCATGGCTGTATTCAATTTGATCTTGCCCCCGCTATGGCTGTACTCATTTTGATCTTGCCCCCGCCATGGCTGTACTCACTCCGATCTTGCCCCCGCCATGGCTGTACTCACTCCGACCTTGCCCCCGCCATGGCTGTACTCACTCCGACCTTGCCCCCGCCATGGCTGTACTCACTCCGACCTTGCCCCCGCCATGGCTGTACTCACTCCGACCTTGCCCCCACTATGGCTGTACTCACTTTGATCTTGCCCCCACTATGGCTGTACTCACTTTGATCTTGCCCCCACTATGGTACTCACTTTGATCTTGCACTTACGAGGGACAGGAAATTACTGAAGGTGTGCTGGATTATGCTTAATTTATTAATTCTATTTAATTTTCCTTGTAGGTGGGCAGTCTCTCAGGTGTGCTGTCATGGCATGTAGTGAAAATACCAGGTTCACTAGCTAGATGAGTGCGGTGTTGCTCCATCACAGATGGGAATGCTGCAGAGCCTCCTCACCAAAGCAGTTATTTCTGTTCCTCAGAATAGAAGTCCTGTCACCAGTGCAGTGAACCTTAAATAGTAATCATCAGTGGTCAGAACTCACATTTTATTGAAAAATCGATGCAATACCAGATATTTATGATGCCTGCACATTTTCATGTGCTGTAGGGAGCTCCTACACAGCCTGGGAGTTGCTTGATAGAAAACACGCTTTGATAAACACCGAAGCTGATGTTTCTTAACTCTCCTTCCATGCCTGTCAGTCATTCTGATCTACCCACTTTGGTACTGCGAACAAAAACACAGCTCAAAAATGTAGTTTCCCTTGACTTCTCTGGATTACAGCAAGCACGTGGACAAAGATCCTGATAGAAATTAAAAAGAACATTGCACGATCCACTAAAATTAGAGCCTCACGGTATCAGATTTTTAAAAATGCACATTGGGGAAAAAAAATTTAAAAAATCTTAAATCCCAGCTGTTGGTACATGCTGGTGATCTTACTGGACTTCATGGGAAAACTCAGGATACCGCATCGTGTGCAAGGACACTTCAGTACTACATTCCTATGGAATTGGGATCTTCAGTTTTAACAGGGACCCCAACGGTATGATCAAAAACGGTCCAGACGATAAGGTGTCGGTTAGCATTTTTCCACATCGCTCCCAAATGTTTGTATGGCTTTCTTTTTTATTCAAAGATGGCCGCAAGAATTGCTTTTCCATGCAAAGCCTGAAACTGAGCCAGCCAACATTTTAGGAATGGCCCTCCTATAATCGCCGGAAAACCGACCCTTTGTGTGCCCGCCCCCTCAAGACAACCAGCACAGGTGGATAAACTGGTTCCCAGTCTCCCCTCAGCCTCCGGCCAGTGTCTTTGTAACATTCTTCCTCCCCAGTCTCGCTCCCGCCGCCACATCCCACTTTAACGCGCGCCCTCGCCAGCACTTCCGCTCTCAGCTACATCCGGTGCTCTCCCGCCGTGCTCTGCGCGGCCGGTCACAGGAAGCGTAAGGATGTCTAGCTGGGAGCGTGAGAGCGGACGGAGCTCCGGGGATGGGCGGATCTACGTAGGGAATCTGCCGTCCGATGTGCGGGAAAAGGAGCTGGAGGAGCTCTTCCACCGCTACGGCCGGATCCGCACCATCGAGTTAAAGAACCGCGGCGGTGCCGCCGCTCCGTTCGCCTTCATCAGCTTCCAGGATCCGAGGTGAGGGGGGGAGCAGGGCAGGCCTGGGTGTGGACTCCGGTGGCGGGGCGGTAGGGCCGGCTCTTTGTGATGAAGGGCGCACATGGGGAGTTTGTAGTCGGCGATGGCGGGAGAGGCGCTGGGGGAGGGGACTGCCTGCCTCCCTTCCTTCCATGTGGGGCTGTGTGTCTCCCTCCCATGTGCGGCTCCGTGTCTCAGCTCTGCCTTCTTCTCCCAGGGATGCGGAAGATGCCGTGTTCGGACGGAACGGGTACGAGTTCGGCTCTTGTCGGTTACGGGTGGAGTTCCCGCGATCTAATAGAGGGCCCGGGGGCGGTTATGGCGGACCTCGAGGAAGGAACGGCCCCCCATCCCGGAGATCGGAGTACCGGGTCCTTGTATCAGGTATGTGCTGTGTAGGCCTGAGAGCAGCCCTCTGATCACAGCTGTCCAATCAATGGCAGGAGATCGGGGATCGCATCAGATCCGTGTCCTCGGCACACAAAGGAGCTGACCACAGACATGGCAGACTGAAAGCCTGGGAGAGATCAGCCTTCATCTCCGTCTGTTCCTTGCTTGTACTGATGACTTCAGATCTGGCCTCCCAGAGAGAGACACACTACACTTCAGGAAGTCCCCCACAGTGGAGGGTTAGTACCCCCTATATTCACCTCTTTGTGTACTGCTCTGTTTACACGTTACATAGGCCAAGTCCTATGATACTCAATGGCACCGATGATCAAACTCAAGAATTGCCCGTGGTGCCTTTTGGCTCTAATGGTACAGATCTCATTGTGTTGTTTAAGCCTGGGTTCACACTGATGCGGTGCTGCATATCGCATGTGAATCATCCAGGGACTACACCGCATTCCTGTGCAAATCACATGCGAGTTCTGTGAGGTGCAGTTTGAGCCTACATTTTGTATAGCTCAAATCGCATCACATCCACACCAAGAAAGTGCAGGACCCTTTTTTTTTTTTTTTTTTTTGTCACCAGAATATGATCACACCTACAATTCTGCACACAGTCTTTAATGTCTATCTTTGCAGCCTCAGATGCACAGAATTAAAGTGTTACTAAACCCAGGACCCTGCATTCACTACATCTGGTCTCCCACCGTACACAACAATGAAGTGCAATTTATTTTAGTAAATATTAACTGCTAAATACCTTTTCTCATCAGCAGTTGGAGCAGTCGTGTGACGTCTATCAGTGTCCAGCTGAGCACATGTTAAAGCTTGTAGGAGGAGTTTTCTTTCTGCTCTAGGAGGATGCAGAACCCCTGACCTCTGTCTGGACAGTACTGATTGGCCCTGTGCTGATCACGTGTACTCCCCCAAAGGAAAAAAAAAAAAAAACCTCTAGCATGTGCAGAAGGGTTACGGGTTCACTCTGTCTTATCACCATGGACATTTGAACAAGAGGAGGGGCAGAGAAGACAGGATCAAACAGCCTTTTTACACAATGCAGAGGATTAACCCCTTAGGTGCCACAGTGAGTATAACAAGCATGCTTTACTGCACATACAGACTATTGTGGGTTTAGTAACGCTTTAAAATACACACCCACAGCGGTTCACATGAAGGGGGTGCAATTATAATACGGTACAGAAACCAGTGCGAATTCCACACTGCATCAGTGTGAACCCGGGCTAAGGGCTCCTTTACACCGTGGTGCAGAGACGTCTGTTTTTCTGCATGGGCACAACAAAATCAATTGATCTCTGTGTGCCCTGGTCACACCGCAACACTAGTATTACGTGCAGTTTTTTTTTTTTTTTGTGCAGGAATCTGCAGCATGTATAAAACTAATGTCAATGTGCGATGTCCCTGCAAGTGAAATCTTTCCATCAGTTTTTCTGCACATGGTGTGAATGAGGCCTTACATTTACAGTGAACCTGTGCCCAAACTGCAGAATAAAGCATTAAAGTGTTACTAAACCCACAACAGCAAAATCAGTCTGTATATGCAGTAAAGCATGCTTGTTATACTCACTGTGGAACCTAAGGGGTTAATCTTCCACATTGTATAAAAAAGGCTGTTTGATCCTGTCTTCTCTGATCTTTCCCTTCTTCCACAGTCCCCAATCCATCTGCTGATGGTACAGAACTCTAGAAGTCATTCTGTACATGCTCAGTTTAGTGTGTATGGCTAGAGTTTTTTTTTCTTTGGGAGGGTGCCTGTGATCGGCTCAGTCTAGGCAGAGGTCAGGTGTCATGCAGCCTCATAGGACAGTCAGAAGAGAATAAAAACTCCTACAAGCTTTAACCAGTGCTCAACTGGACACTGATAGAAGTTACAAGATTGCTCTAACTGCTAATGAAAAAAGATATTTAGCAGTTTATATTTACTAAAATAATTGCATTTTCATGCCCTATGTACTGTGGAAGACCTGATATTGTGAATGCAGGGTCCTGGGTTTAGTAACACTTTAAAGTGGAAGTCTGATCTAATCCTAAACCCCCACTCCCACCCCCGTTCTAAGCCTTATGCTAACTACCATGTAAAGGAAGATATGTATACCTTATCTAAGGCATGTTTTCTCCCTAGCAGATGTCTTTAGGGGAGTGGCAAGAGCAGTGACAACAGCTGCAGAGTCTGACATCCCTCAGACTTACTGTGGGGCATCCGTTGTCCACTGTCCCTCACTCTACTCTAAAGCTGCCTCTAGGACCCGATCACATGACCAGAGCACCCTTAGATTAGGTAAGTATACACATATCTTTCCTTTACAAGATAGTTGGTATTGGGCTTAGAATGGGATTCAGAGCAGGTTTAAAGGGATAGTTTGCCTGTGCAGATAAGGGGTGTCTGTAGATAAAAGCAAACCCTGCAGCTCTGACAAAGTTGAATTGCTATAGGTGTAGGCCATTTACCTACCTCCTGAAGCTTGACTGGAATACTCCCAGGATGTTGCTAAATACTTCAGAATGTTGCTAAGTGAGGCCTAATCATTACTGCTCCTCTCCATCACAGGAGTGAGCTCTCAGACACTGAGCTCAGAGCTACTACATCAGGGGAGAGCGAGCATGTGAGGGGATCTGAATCAGAGAAAAAGCTAACTCCTGTGATGATGGGGGTGAGCCGTAATGACTAGGCATCACTTACTCGACAACATCCTTGGAGTATTGCAGTCAGGCTTCATGAGGTACATAAATGGCCTATAGCAAAGGCATTATTCAATTTTAATCAGAGAGACACAGTTTGCTCTTTAACCATAGATGCCCCTTAAATGCATAAGCAGTTCATTGGTGAAGGTGAACTATCCCTGTAAGCCTAGATAGGTTTAGACCAGACTTATTCTTTACTCTGCATAGTCTGGACACAGGTTTGTTTCAAAAGTAAAACTACATAATGATGTGTACCATTATATTCATATACCTGAATCTTTTCTGATCAAACAGTAGAATAACTTTAAAAAAAAAAAGCCCTCATTCACCTCTGTATCTAAAGGCAGTGTGGAGACATTCATTTTCAGTTTCACAAGAGGCAATTAAATCAGATCTCATTTACCCTTTTGTTTTTTGTGGAATCCATGCAGCGCTCACAACAGGTGCTGTTAGGGCTCATGCATGTGGCATATTAGGTCATCTAGCATAGAACACATCTGTATTTTGCCACCTGGGAACCATTGGTGTTGCATTACTGCCTCCTGTACAAAGGACTTGCACGATATGGCTTTATGTGGGTATATGCAGATCCAAGCTTAGACGTAGCTACACTTCCAGGCATGCACCCTGGGCACTGGCCTTCTGCGGTCAGGGCCTTACATCTATACCTATGGTTACACTTGGATCTGGGTATATCCATGTACAATTTGTTGGACACAATACTTGTGGCTTCTGGGCGTATTTATGTTCTATTCCACAATATGCCTGTGTGCACAAGACCAACTGAACCCTAAGTCTGTTATCTTTGCAAATGAATTACTTCACAGTACAAGTAGTTGGAAAGGGGGGGTCAGCAAGTGCTTGTTTTAAAGCTTTTACTGTTTTACATCTGATCTTCTGCTTGTAGTGAAGTTTAAATGGTTTGTTTGGATCAAGCTGGTCCAAAGGAACTATTACCTCCACTAACCGATGCAGCGGCTGGGAGAACTGCATAAACTGTATGTAGCCTCAGCTACATTTAATATACAGCACTCTGTTCTCGCAGCAGGATAACTTACCATCCCACTCCTGGAACAAAATCAAATTGGGCTAAGCCCTGGCCAGCCATTCACCAGGGTGCTTTGTATGCTATGAATTACTACAAAGCTTCTTCTGATTGGCTAAGTCAGAGATCAATATGTCATCAACCCATCTCTTCACTTTGGCCAATAAGAGGAAGTTTTGTAGTCATTCATAGACTACAAAGCTTCATGATGAATGGCTGATCATCGCTTAGCTCAACAGGAGTGGGACAGGAAGTTATCCTGCTGACAGAACAGTGCTGTATATTGTACAGCACCCCCCAAATACTTACCTGGGCCCTGTATCAATCCAGCATTTTGCCCATCTGCAGTTCTTCTCCCCCTCCCCTCTCTCTCACAGGCTTGGCTAAGAGAAGTGGGAATCCTGTGTGGAGGAGGTGGGGCTGAGCTATACTGTGTGTCTCTATGGATGCACACAGCCCAGCTCAGAAGCGTGACTGATAGGAAGCTGCTTCCTATGAAGGCACAGGGAGAAGAGGAGGAGAGCACAGTGGGACCCTAGAAGAGGCTGTTTGGGGCCACTTTGTGCAATAGCTTCTTTTTACTGGACCAAAAATGCAAAGTATGAGTTGTACCTAAGGAATAGAAGAGTGTTGGGTCACAGTTGCAATTAAACCCTTCTCTTCCCACCTGTTTTTTGTAAAGGGAACCAGTTTGGGTACGCTTAGTACTAGAGTAGGGGCTAATGTATACGTGCGTTTTGTGTGCTGCTGAAAGTCTGTAGATTCCCATTTACTTGAATGGTGTATGGATGACCATTCTGAGGCCATGTGATGACCTATTTTTCTTCCTGTTTCTCTGGGTGCAGCAAGTCCTATTGCGATTCAGGCACAGCAGGTTTTGCATTCCAATGTTTTTGAGTAGCAATGCATTGAAATGCAAAAGTTTTCATTTGTTAGCCTGCCCTAAAACTTGGATTCCAAATGCAAAAAAAAACTAAATTACTGAGGAAATTAACTTCTGTAAACTTTCACTTTTTTTTGCTAAAGGTTAAAACTGCTTTGGGCTTTTGCAGCTGTCTGACCCTGTGTGGAGATTTTTCTTTACTTCCTGAACCAGCTACTGATGCGACCTGGGACAAGAAGTAAAGGAAATCACTCCAGTGGAGATGCACAGAATTGAAAGCCTAAGGCTATGTTCACACTAGCTTTGTCAGCAGGAGTCAGACAGGCATTTGGGAAGCTGTTTTAACACTTCTCAAATGCCTATGAAAATTCTGCACATGGCAGCACATAGTGCTGTTCACATTGAAGCGTTTGCGTTGTGGCAAATCTGATGCCTCATGACAAGTCAGGAGTTGAAGCCTCCCATTCAAGTCTATGGTGACTCTCCTCAAACCCCTGGCAGGATTTGCAGAGTTAATATCATTGAAAGTCATTATAGGCATTTTTAACACTTTGCAAATGCCTCAAAATGCGCATAGGCGTTTGGGGAGTGTTAACGCTTCCCAAATGCTGTTGGGCATTTGGCAGGAGTTAGAAATAAAGTCAAGTGTGAATGCAGCCTAATAGCGGCTTTAACTTTTTCTCTTATCCAAAACTAAACTTTTTTGAGTAGACCTGTTATTTACACCTTAACTCTATTGAATGGTTCCAGATAAGATTGGAAAATAAAACAGGGACTTGTTGGCTACTGTCTGGAGGAACATGGGCAGTTCCTTCACTGTGGGACATTGTTTACAATTATTTGGTCACTTTCAAAGAGAACTGGTTAGATAGTTTGCTTTATGTCAGATATAATCTGGTGCCTGTACACAACTGTTCATGTTTTGTCCAGTATGGCAAATCCATTGTGTTTTACAATGAAGGAAGGAAACCGAGAAGTGGCACCTACAGCCAGCCAGTTGGACATAAGTTTTACTTTCTAACACAAATATGTCTAATGTATGCCACTAATTTTTTCTGAATGATAAAGTATATGTAAACCCTCACTTTGTACAACAACCCATTCAATTTAAAATAGAAATGAAAGGTAAAACACTTGTACAGATATAAATTTTTTTTTTTTTTTATAATGTATCTTCTGTTCTTGCTGCATAAGAGCTGGGGGAGGAGAAACAGCAATACACTGAACTTCCCAGTGAAAGGCTGTGCAGGGGGTAAGTGTGTCAGGACAAGTCTCATCATTGGAGGAACACAGACTGCGTTCCCAGTTTAGCTGGAGAACTGATCACGCTGTGCTGTCTTGCTTAGTGTGGTCAGTTTTTTTTGTTTTTTTTATTTAAATAGGAAAGCAGAGGGACTGGCAGGAACATCAAGGATTTCACACAAAGGAAGCAATACGAGGACAGGATACTTTTTCATACTAGTACATGGAACAGCATACACATATTAGGAATATTAAATCTTGGGTTTACATACTCTTTAAAAGAGAAGTATGGTCTCTTCACCCCCCTCCAAATTATACTTGCCTAGGTGGATGCAGCATTGGTCTGATGCTGCATCTCTCCCCTCCCAGCTCTAAGTGTGAGAAACCCAGCGATCACATGACCGCTGATCACTGAGTTCTCACAGCCAGAGAGCGGTGGCGGTCGGTTTTTTTTTTTTTTCTCTCCCCTTCCCTCCCTCCTCCTGCCTATTATATTCAGCAGGCACCTTTTACAGTGGCTGCATCTGTTTGGCTGACCCTCCACACAAAAGCTGGAATGAGAGAAATACCCAGGCAGGTTGTAATGAACTCTGCAGTATATTGCAATTACTTGTTTCTATTGCTTTAAAACTTTGATGCTGACCTGGAATAAGCATGTGAATCGGGAAAGTCAGATGTGCATGCATGGTATGGGCTAGTGACTTGAAGTCTCAGAGGAGGGTAAGAGATCAGGTAGCAGTGGATGTTGGTGGCTCACTAGCTATTTTCTTGGTGTGAGGAAGCCAGGTTTTTGTAGCCCCCAGACAGCTGACTTCAGGGAGGTTTTCATTGGTGGTCTCCTTTCTGTCCTGCGGTTTAGTGAGTGATAGTAAGCTGCAAGGCAGCATTCTGGTATAGCTTGGCATTCCATGTATTCCTGGCACAGTTCCTGAGCCAGATTGAAAAGCGGGACTGGATTTGTTCCCACAGGAGAGATTTGCTCTTACTTCCTGTTTTACTGACTTGACAAGAAGTAAGGAAGGCCCACACATGGGGGAACAATTTAATCCTATAGTGTTTGAATTGCTGTCTGTGGCACAGTTTAGGATAATGTCACTTCCTGGCCTAATGGTATAAAATTTGTGAAGCCTATTTAATCAGTGTATGTGTGATATATATATATATATATATATATATATACACACACACTTTGTTAAAGTACATTGTGAAATATGTAAGATGTCATTCTTGACCTTTCCTTTTGTAACATGCCTGATATCATATCCTTTGCTTTGGTACTTGGGTTGCTGAGCTGGGACTTATTTGCATATGCTGTCTTCTGGCTTTTCTGACATGAATACATGTTCAGTGATGCCTGTGGGTCAGCATAACAGGCAGGCAACTAGTATTTGCAGAGGTCAAATGGCCCCCCCCCCCTTTTTTTTTTTTTTTTCCCCCTCCATGCCTGGTTTACTTTTATATATTATACATAGAATACTATGAATGTGGAGTTTTTGTGAATTAAAGACCAGCTATTTTATATCTCCACTCTAGGTCTTCCTCCATCAGGAAGCTGGCAGGATTTGAAGGATCATATGAGAGAAGCAGGAGATGTCTGTTATGCTGATGTACACAAAGATGGAATGGGAATAGTGGAATTTATACGCAAAGAAGACATGGAATATGCTTTGAGGAAACTGGATGACACTAAATTTCGGTCTCATGAAGTAAGTGGTGCTTGTGTTACCATAAAACAAAACAAATGCATGCTGTTGACCATGCATAACCTTATTTTTCTCTCTTAGGGTGAAACCTCTTATATTCGTGTCTGTGCAGAAAGAAATGCCAGTTACTCACGATCCAGATCCCGTTCTAGAGGCCGTGATTCTCCCTATCAAAGTCGTCGTTCTCCTCGTTATGCCTCCCCCTTCCGACAGTACTGAGCTGCCACACAGGGACACTTTCTATAAAATCAATTCTGAAGACCATCTGCTCTTACATTCCACAACTGATGGAGTTCATTATCTTTTATACCATTATTTCTGCCCCTATTTTTTTTTTTTTTTTTTTTTTTTTAAAGGAAAGTGTGATCTTTGCATCAGATGTACTTGTTTTCTTTTACGTTCTGTCATCTTTTAAGGCAACAGACGGTATTGTGCCTGATCTGATGCTCTTTGCATAAGTGTGCAGTGACAGTGAATGATAGCTCTATGGGGTATAAAAAAAAACAAAAATGTGGAATGTTGTGGCACTGGGGCAAACATAAGGGAAGGTACATGTTTGTCCTTTATATATAGACCTGTCCCCCCTCAATTTGTTAGATCTTATTATTTTGAAATAACTTTTAATCCTCAATCAAGTTTGTATGTGTTTTTTTTTTTTTTTTCCTTTTTATTATGAAAGTGTTTCAGTTAAATAAGTAAACATCTGTAGCTGTCCTAATAAAACAGTGAGATTTCCAAAAGGTGTTTTCTTTGCCTCCCCCCCCTTTCAGTCCACTTTTGCAAATTCTATGTCATCTCCTTTGGAGGATACATAGTTAATTTCCTTCTGTGGTAAGGGAATATTTCCTGTTGGTATAACAAACAATATTAGCATATATAATATATATATTTTAATATGGCAAAATGCTCAATCAAGTTTTTTACCTGGAGGCGCTACAAAATAATCTTCAACTACTGAGCTAGCATTCTGAAGTAGAATTTCGGAGCAACTGCCAGATGTAACTGTATCACTTCTTATATACAATGCCCTATAAAAAAGAAAACTAGATAAAGTAATTATGTACATGAAACAAGCATCCCAATAGAGCTGTTGTTGCTTACCTATCCTCTAACACAGAGGCAAGTGGCTCTATGCCATCAGTGTTCACACTGTGGAGCTGCTTTGCAAAATTAATTGCACTCTGTAAGCGCTGTACTCCCTCTTGGTTACGGAAGTCTACAAGGGCTAACCTCTCTAGGTGATCAATGACCTCCGGAGTGGCATGGCAGTCCTGGTAATGGCACAAAAAAAGTTATGAAAATGCCTTTATTGGAATTTGCAGAGATATGTTGTGAAAACTGACTGATACTGGCTTATGTGACATGGATTGACAATATGACAACTGGGCAAAGTAATTGGTGCTGTACATTTAGTGACTGGTCATGTATGATGGTAATTGCAAGTAGCGGAGCCTGTGTGAAAACCTTAACAGTGTTCTTCTAATGTGACGCTAATGTTGTTGGGTGAGAGGAGAGAAACAGATCTCTATGTTGACTATATTCACTGCAAGAAATAAGCTATTGCAAATTCAAACTTGTAAATACATCTGTCTATGAACTCCAAAAAGCAAGAACCCAGTGGAATCAGCTTCCTAGTATAATCTTATGATCCGTTCTAGTCTTCTCAGTAGGGAAAATTGTGCTCTTGAAATATGCAACTGCCTTGGCAGATATCTTACAGCAAAGTTCCACTCACCCTTTCAAAAAATAAGTCAGCAAACTGTAGCTGCTGACTTAAAAAAAACCAGCCACTTACCTATCCCGTGGTGTGTCCCCCGCAGCCCGTTTCACTAGCCCTCCTGTCTTCCAGGAGGCCGGTATCTTTAGTGTGGGGTCGGGTGCCGATTGCACATGCACGAGTAGTGCTGCATGAATGCCCCTGTAGTCTTCTGTGACCTGTCACATATCTCAAAAGACTAAAGGGAGGGAGGACACCTGATCGCCTAGGCGATCAGAGCGGGTACCCGTCAAACTGATGGGGAGTGGGGCAGCAGTCCTTAAAGGGGAACTTCTCCTTTGGGGTGGAGCTCCACTTTAAGATGAAAATCCAAGTACTGTGAACCACTGTAAAAAAAAAAATGCTCACATGCAGGCTTTTTTTTTTTCTTTTTTAGAGACTGTCAGCTCTTTCCTCCATGTGTAAACAAAGCTGTACATTTTAGAAATTATATAAAATAAATAACCTCTTACAAAAACCCCACCAAAGAGTCACACTTTCTCCCTAGAAGGTAAATATAGCATATATAAACCTTTTTGTAAATCTCCCAGTGAATACCCAATAATCAAATATTCAATAAATAAATAAAAAACCTTCAATCAATATGTGCACAATTCATTAATCCATAATGTGTCCAATGAAGTAGAGATCTCCAAATGTGTCCAGTAAAGTCCAAAAATCCAAAATCCAAACTTAATCCAATAGGAAGAATTTGAATCTATAATAATCCGTGAAAACCTCAAAAGAAAACAAACAATCTATAGTGCATTAACTTCAAAATTATCCATAAACCCACTCCAATCCGTACAAAACAAAAAGCACTCCAAACTGTGTTATTCGTGCAAACACACAAAAAACAAAACCAAACTATGAATAATAGATTATATAATTATTAAATACTTACATCCGTGAATACTCCAAAATCGTGAGCACTCCATGTCCACTCTAATACTGTGTACACTCTGTGATCCAACCAAAATAATTACTAAATACTATTACCCTCTGTGAGTGATCATATGCATAACCTATATCTCAAGAATGATATCTTCCAATTCCTTCACCTCAAGGGTTGATCCTCCAACATCTTCATAAAGACAAGAAGACTTACGGATATGCAAGTATAGGGACAATTTTATTCAAAAACTTACATCTAGGTAACCAACTTCCAGCTCCTCTTGTGGCTCTGATACAGCACTCCAAACAAGGGTAAGAACTCGTGTATTGATAACCAACAAAATGGCCGTGGAGACACTTCCGGTTAGCGTGCGTCTTAAGACGTCACTTCCTCTAACGCGTTTCATCACATCCAGACGTCATCTGAAGGGATCCCTTTTGGTTGGATCACAGAGTGTACACAGTATTAGAGTGGACATGGAGTGCTCACTATTTTGGAGTATTCACGGATGTAGTATTTAATAATTATATAATCTATTATTCATAGTTTTTTTTTTTTTTGTGTGTTTGCACGAATAACACAGTTTGGAGTGCTTTTTGTTTTGCATGGATTGGAGTGGGTTTATGGATAATTTTGAAGGTAATGCACTATAGATTGTTTTCTTTTGAGGTCTTCACGAATTATTATAGATTCAAATTCTTCCGTTTGGATTTTTGGACTTTACTGGACACATTTGAGATCTCTACTTCATTTGACACATTATGGATTAATGAATTGTGCACATATTGATTGAAGATTTATTTATTGAATATTTGATTGATTATTTATTGGGTATTCACTGGGAGATTTACAAAAAGGTTTATATGTGCATCTTAGAAAGCTCTGGGATCACTTTTCAGTGATAGTCTGCCTTATTGTGCTAATATGCTACATACACTAGCACATTATGGCAAAAGCCATTAGGGACCCAACATTTTACTGGTGGTTTAAATCTACTGCAGGCTCCATGCACACTAGCTATAGTGTTATCCTATGTGTCCATGCACACTGCTTTAGGCTATTAGTGCTTTTTGAGCTTCAGCGGCTAGGAGCAGAAATATTTTTTCCATCTGGAAAAAAAAAAAAAAAACGCTACTTGCTTTTGGGGGGCCCCACATGTACTGTAAAAACACTTATTACCCTTGTTTTTTTCTAGCTTAAAAAAAAATGCTAGTATGCATGGAGCCTCAAAGCGCAAATTAATTTTCAGTTGGAACAGTCCAGATGCCTCAAAACAAAAGGTGTACAAAGTCTTATATTGTTTCCTTTAGAACAGTGGTTCTCAACCTTTCTAACGCCGCGACCCCTTAATACAGTTCCTCGTTGTGGTGACCCCCAACCATAAAATTATTTTTGTTGCTACTTCATAACTGTAATTTTGCGGGGGGAGGAATAGTGCCCCACCATTGGTGTCAGTGGGGGGAGGAATAGTGCCCCATCATTGGTGTCAGTGGGGGGAGGAATAGTGCCCCATCGTTGGTATTAGTGACATAAATGATGGGGCACTATTCCTCCCACTGACACCAATGATACTTACCTTGCTGACCCCTGTTCCAGCCTGGGCTCTCTCCCTCTCCCATCTACAGCCTGCATACCTGGCTGCAGCAGCAAAATTTGCACTTACCTGTCAGCTGTCTTCCTTCTCTGGCCGCTCTTCACTCGCTCCGGCAGCTCCCTCGATCTTCTTTGATCCACGCGCGCTGCCGCTCGGCTCCTCCTCTCCAAGCTCCACCTCCTCGCCGGTGATTGGCCGACTGTGTGCCTCTCCTGAGCTACAGTTCCGGTGGCCAATCAGCGGCGAGGAGGCGGAGCTGTTGAGTGATCCCGGAGGTGTGGCCAGGTGACAGGGGCAGCATGTCATCCCGCCCACACAGATAGAGGAGCGGTGTCTCGGTTCCTAAGACCATCGGAAATATGTGTGTTCCGATGGTCTTAGGCGACCCCTGTGAAATGGTCGTTCGACCCCCAAAGGGGTCACGACCCACAGGTTGAGAACCGCTGCTTTAGAAAGTGGCCAAAGCCTGAGCAGAAAAGCCTTTCTTGCCAATATGTTGCAGAGAATGACTATGGAAGTAATGGTCTCTGCAGAGGTCCGTCACTCCCTCTGCAGAGTTGGCGCTAGTACTCTTCATCCTGCAAAGCTCATGCCTTCTGTAGGGATACTGCTGCACCCACACAGCGAGAAAGGGTCCTTCTCTGCAGAGGACAAGTTCATCTATTCAGGCTGATGTTACTTTCTACAGAAAATAAACTATAAGAGTTTATAAACCTTTTATTTTGCTGCACCTGCAATATTATTGGCTGATTTAAACTGAAAGTTCAGTTGAACTTAAAATAGTTTCCTATGCAAAAGCAGAACTGTGGAAATTACTTTGCTATAAAGGACATTATAATTTTTGTTTGTATAACAGTTGGCTGTAGATTAAAACTAAAAGGTCATTTTCGCTTTAAACTTACAACAGGCAGTTTAATATACTGTTGTAATACATATATACAGTCATGGCCGAAATTGTTGGCACCCTTGATATT